CCTGCTTCTTCCTCCCAGCTCATTTGCTGAAGGCTGCTTCTAAATGAGCAAGAGAGGGAAGCGCTTGCAAATGACGCAGAGTTGCCCGAGGGAGCAGTGTGCATGTGTCTTCCACCCTTGTTGGATTGAAAGTCTGCAGAATCCAGGTGTAAAATAAATAGAAACACAAGTCTGCAACAGAAAAAAACCCAAACTGAATGTTGTGGAGACGGAAATATTAATCTTTGTAATACCTTAAACTATTGAAAGTATGTCATCTTGTCTCGCCCTTAGATTGCAAACAGTCAATGAGGGAAGAAGAGGGGACAGTAACTATGAACAGGAGAGGAGCCATCAAGCAAGCCAAAATCCACTACATCAAAAATCATGAATTTATTGCTACCTTCTTTGGACAACCTACGTTTTGCTCTGTCTGCAAAGACTTCGTATGGTAAGAAGGAAAAACTGAGCTTCCCCCATCCGCAAAGGCTAAATAATTGCAAATTTGCTTCAGGTATATTGAGGCAAAACATGATATGTAAATTCTTGTGTTGGGAAAAGGAAATAATATATTTACTAAGAGCATTGTTGTACCGAAGAACTATAGTTGTCTCTTTCACATTAAAAAACCAGAACTTGAACATTTTTGCATTTCATCAGCATCAAGAGATCTGGTCCATCATCAACAGCAGCTCTTTCACAAGAGAGTGAGATGGTGGATCTGAGAAAATAATGCTCAGACTGAGATGTGAAGTGGCTGATAGCAGACTAAAGACCCATCAAGAGCAAAAAGCTGGAACTCTTTCATAGTAAAGCCATTTTCGTAGTAAGTCAGATCAGCAGGATTTCCCATGTGATTGAATCCTTGTCTTTTCTGGGTTTCCCTCCTAATTTGCTGGTCTGTTGAAGCATACTACCTTATCTTCTAAACCTTGCCTTCTTAAGAGAGGAGTCTGCATAGCAGAAGTTAGACCAGTTTTTTAATAGGAATAAATATTCCCATAGACAAAGGATTGATTGGCTGACATGGTAAAAATAAAAAACACCTTTTATTCCAGCAAATATATGCTTTCATGGTTTCCTTCTTTATTGTTTGTTTTTCAGGGGACTCAACAAACAGGGATACAAATGTAGGCGTAAGTTAATTTTACTTTTTTCTTCTACTACTTTTCATATTAGCCTGTAGATGTAATATTTACTGTTGAAAAATCTTCTGAAAATGTGCACGGCACAGTGCATCATCACCATAGGTAGTAGTAGATATTAAATACCGGTTTTGCATGATAACCTAAGGGTGTCTGATTCCTACCTGAGTTTTTATTGCTAAGATTTAAACTTAGCTATTCTTCTCATTAGTGTGTCATGCACTTGAAAAGTTGCACTCATTTATGAGAGCAGTTTTTATGAAACCTTTTCTAAAATGAATTACAATTATTGATGGGTTTTACAGCTGAATTGAAGAGCGCTTTTGACGTAGCGTAGATCTCTGTGCATTACTCAACAGTAGGGGAGATATCAAAGGGTAAAACTCTCAAAAGCATAATATTATTCTTCTGTTATCAAATGCTGGTGGCATTTCCTAATGGCAGCAGAGTTAGTTTAGAAATAGAGGTCATGTAAGAAGAAAATTGGGAGGAAGCTGCTTTAAAAAGTTCATCATCTTGATAGAAAATAAAGGTTTTGGTGTATCTAGTATGATGTAAAGGAGCGTGTTTTTCACATTGTGCTGTGAAATGTGAACACCCATGTATTTATTATCTGAAGGAATCCTTTTCTTTCTTGTGCATGTCTTGAAGAATGCAATGCTGCTATTCATAAGAAATGTATTGATAAAATCATTGGGAGGTGTACCGGTACTGCAGCCAACAGCAGGGACACAATGGTAAGAGCTGGAACAATATATTTAGAGTGTAATTATGTTATTAAACACTCCTGATTTAACAAAACCTTGTGTAGAAAAGGCCAAGTCCGTCAGGGAGGTGCTTGGCTGTACAACCCAAGTTACTGTCTTCTCTTGAAGATTATACGTAATGTGTAGTGGGTGAAACTTTAAAGCAAGAAAAGTAGTTAAAAGCCCTGCAAGGGGGTGGGTAGTATTTGATGGGCAGATTCTTTCCCTGCAAGAGGAGGGATGTTAGGACTGGGGTATTCAAGACAAAATTGTTGTAGCTTTGTAATACCCAAGCCGTTTTCTGTAAGAAGCTGGTCCTGTTTTGGGTAGAGTGCCTCATCCTTCTCTCTGTCCTCAGTTTCAGAAAGAACGTTTCAACATTGACATGCCTCATCGCTTCAAAGTTTACAACTACATGAGCCCTACCTTCTGTGACCACTGCGGCAGCCTGCTCTGGGGACTGGTGAAACAAGGACTCAAATGTGAAGGTACGAGGGAGATGGGAGGGCAGCTGGGACCTCCCCATGCTTTTCCAGTGTTCCCACCCCCCACTGGAGATTAGCTGTCGCTACACACTGTACATTTCTAGATGTGTGTTATATAGAACGGGATTCATCTCGTCCATGCGTGGTTGAAAAAGCTTTTGTACTAGAGACAGACAAATAGGCACTTGGCTCATGTGACAGCTCAGCCAAGGTGAGCTTCTAATGGAGTTAAGAAACATGCTGCGGAGGTGTAATCTTGAGTATCATCAAAATTACTGCTTTGGGAATAGCTGAAATTTGGTGAGTCTGACTCAAGGTAGCGCATAAAAAGTGTATTGAAAACGTTTACTGTAAATACCATTTTAGAATTCTCCCCCCAAAAGGCAAGATGACCTTTATTGTAACAGATTTTGAGAGTAAAATAATAATTATTGGATTTTTTTTCCTTTTGAACAATTTTTGTAACCTTCGTTGAGTTAAAGGTTAAAACTGCACCTTTATTAACAATGAGAGATCCATGTCCAATCTGGTCTTCTAACAAGGTTTCTGAACTGCGCAGAGAAACAGCCCTTTTTGTTGTAATGTCAAACAGTATTTTCCTGAAGCTTTTATAACCATCCTTACATTTCTTTTAGAATGTGGGATGAACGTGCATCATAAATGCCAGAAGAAGGTGGCAAACTTGTGTGGAATAAACCAGAAGTTGCTAGCTGAAGCTTTAAATCAAGTTAGCCAGGTATGCTTTATGCATTTTGGGGTTTTTACTTCATCTTTTCTGTGTTACTTTTATGGGGAACTAAGTTTGGAACAGAGGAAATGCAAACAGCTTTCTCTCTTTAATTTGACCTGTAAAGAGACTAACAAAGATGTCAGTAGCCTAAAGTTGAAACTGGCAGGAAAAAATTCCACCGAACAAAAAATTCTTAAAAAGATGTGTGTTTCCTGAAATCTAAGTTTGTTCTTCTATGGTGCCAAGGTTATTCTCACCCTTTCTGTTTAATTGTTTAAACAGTGGTATCATAACGCTGAAGTCTGGTTTTCCATGCTTCAACTTTAGAATTCCACTTGAATGATAAAATGAAACAAATAAGGAGAAATGTACCAGATATTCTCAATTTTTATTAATCTGATATATATGCACAGAAATCTCTTCTGGAATTAACACTGGCCCTATAGTTTACATTGTTCATGTCCTGCTGCAGCATGGCTGTCTCTTGTGGTCGTCTTCTGACTTGCAAATAAAGATTCAGACACAGGCTCTGAAAGAAAACAGGAAAATATATCACAAAAGCCAACAGTGCTTCCTTTAAGCTGAGTGTTCCTGAGCTTTCACAGGATATTTACTTTGAAAACAGTGAGAGCTGTTGCTCCAGCTATTTCACAACTCAGAAAAGCTTAATATTTTCATTACTAAAATTTGATCTTGGGGATCTTCCATACATAAAATTTGTTTCCCTGTGCTAAAGACAGATATCACACAGAGATATGACTTCAGCATGTCCAGTATGACAGTGATTACCATCTCCTCTTTCAAGTGAACGTATGTTCAAGGAACATTTTCCCAGTTTAAGTTGTTCCCACTGTGGATTCAAACAATTATACCTTTAATAATTTTGTAACCAACACCACAACATAAACTCTTCAGGACTTATTTTCTTGCAGTGAAGGAAAGTAAAGCAATTGGCTCATCTGAAGCTGTAAAGAACGTGGCTTAAATAGCCTATGAACCAGACTTCTTGGGAAAAAATAGGTACTAGGATTTAATAATAAAAGAGAAAAGATTGTACTGCCATCATGTTACATTTAACAGCTAATGTTGGGTTTCTAAAGTAATAGCACAAATATTTTTTCAAATGTTCCCTTCCCTTCCTCCTCAGAAATCTACACGAAGGTCTGATTCTGGATCTGTAGAAAGTGTTGGTATTTATCAAGATTTTGATAAGAAACCTAGAGGTCCAGGGGGAGATACAACAGGTGAGAAAAGCTGCCGTGTTTTAATTTAGCCATTCACCTACCAGACTACATAAACTAATAATTTAAGTAGTTATTCATTCTTGCCTTATGTTAGGCAATTTTTTTCTAATACGCACTATTAAAAAAAACCCACATATATTTCTTTTGTGTGGCTGGGAAAAGGTAAAAATGCTCGCATAACTTTCGACAAATATGTGTAGTTGTTATTCCATAAGCATATGCCCACCTTTCTGCAAGAGGCTTGCTTCACTCACTGCCGCGCAGTTCCCCGTGATGGAGCTGGAGGATACTTCCCTAACCAGACACGCACGTACAACACGCTTCCCTCCCTCCCTCCTGTAACTGAAATGACATGCACGTTGTTAATTACCTTGATTTGTTCACAAACTGTTAGGAACCAATGACAAGTGCGCTCTATTTTAGGATGTAAGTAGCCAAAATACTACTTGAGATTAAATGGCTGAAATAGTTTAAGTAGTACCCGGAATCCTGTCCGTTAAAGGTTCAGAGTGAGGTTATTTTTTATTACTGCTAAAGAGTTCCAGCATTGTATAAGCCTTATTTTCATACCTGCTAGCCTATGATGATTTATGCAAAAATAAATGCAACAGTAGAAGTAACTTTTTACCAGATGGAAATCACCGGGCTCAGTAAGAGATAATGGGTGGTACAGGATTTGAGATATTCATCCATGCATTGAACTAATTCTATTGAAATGCCAAGTAAGAAAATTATTTTGATATTATTTCTCATACTTGTTCTGATTTGCCAGAACAGAGAAGGAAAAAAACAAACAAAAAAAAACAAACAAAAAAAACCCAAAACAAAAAACAAACTCTTGCAAAGGTAGTTTGGTTTAATACTAAGTCAGGGTGCAGCCACTGTGATTCCTCCCTGGGGTATCGCAGGCGCTGGGCAGCCTGTGGGGCATGCACAGTATCATCTCGTGATTATTGTCAGCTTCTTGTTAGTGACCCAGCAGATCGATGCAGCGAAGGTTAAAAAAATAAAAAATAAAAAAATAAAAAATTGCAGTTATTAATTTTAGGATATAATCAGGATTAACCTGTATGATCATGCTTCTTAGCCAGCATTTGGGCATAAATCGGATCTTTTTACAGCCTCTCTGCTTAGGCTGAGGGACTGGCCTGTTCTTTAACAGAAGAAAAATAATTTGTTTACAAGCAGTCCTTGTAAAGTATGTTTTTCTCCAAATTCTGCTCTGTATCTTGGTCACGGGAGAAAGTCAGGGCCTTTGATTTTTATAATGCCTAAGTTGCTTAAACCCAGCATTAGAAACAATTACAGATTCAGTTCAAATCCAACATTACCACGTATGCTCATGTAATTTAAACTCTGTTACAAACTGCAGGAGTTGACTCTTATGTTTAGATTCACCGGTATTCCAGCAGCAGATGCATTGAAATAGCACGTCTGTACTTAATTATTAGTGGGTGATCTGAGTCGTGCAGTATTTCTGCCTATATTGAACTTTAAACTCCCTGTTTCAATTAGCAGATAGCAGCGAGTACGATAAACTCTGGGAGGGAAGTACAGCCAAGACAGCGTCACGAATTGCAAGCAGGAGAAAATTCAACATAGACAGCTTTGTCTTCCATAAAGTACTAGGGAAAGGAAGTTTTGGAAAGGTATGTAACAAACTTACGGAGCTTAAGGTGACTGCTTTGCTTGATCTCTGCAATGGGATGGGCTATTTCCATTAACCAGAAAGGTGTTACTGTTACAGCCACTTGGGTAGATAAGCTTTTGACAGAATTGAGCGTAGCCATCTTTGTCAAAGACAGTAGAAATTCATCACCTGAATCTTGTCTAATCTCAAAAGTGATCCATAATGCACAATGTTCTTGCAGTTACTTCGTATCGAGGCAGAGGAATTGCCCTTTATGCACCACAGTGCAAAGGATGTTTTATGTTCGTACACTCTGTATAGAAACAGCCTCACAATGCTCCGGGGCAATGGCAGGGGGAGACGGGGGAGAGCAGCATGACCTCCGCAGACTCTGTCCCCTGCTGTCTCTGACACTACAGCTCTAACAGAAGGAAGAGGCTTTACTTGTCTGCTGTTTATACGCTCACAAGACATTGACAGAACTGCCCTGGAAGCTGCTGTGTCTGTTACGTGATCCTTGAGCCTCATCTCTATGCCCTGCAACTTCACCTTCCCAAATCTCACTCATCTTTCCCATTTAAATGCTTTCTAATTGTCATTGCACCTGCTATAAACACTTTTGACTTTCCCTTACTGATACCATCAGCAACAGTCTTTCCTATGTGTGCTGTAATCTCACCTTTTATTTTTCATAGGTTCTGCTTGCTGAGCTGAAAGGGAAGAATGAATTCTTTGCTATCAAAGCTCTGAAAAAAGACGTGGTGCTAATTGATGATGATGTGGAATGTACCATGGTGGAGAAGCGGGTCCTTGCGCTTGCATGGGAAAATCCATTTCTCACACATCTTTACTGCACGTTTCAGACAAAGGTAAGAAAAAGCCCAACAGCAACACAACAGATTCAGACTTTTAACGGATGCTGTTACTAGCAGTCAAGTGAAAGTAACTTCGTGATGCAAGAATTAAATTTCCTTTTCTTGTGCTCTGTGCAGTAGTTCACGGGCCTTTGGAAAGTAAATATTGAGTATGACCCCCACATATGTTGATGAGAATGGAATGAGATCAGAAAAACATCTGTGCAATCTGGAAAAAGAGGCAGTTTAATTTAAATCCTTGATCTCAACTTTACCCTCAGTGAGGGGAAAAAAAGATGACTGTCACAGGTAGAAGTCGGTAAATCTGTTAATGTATCATCTACAAACCCACAGAATACAGGATCAGCTTTGCAATACAAGACCAGGCTACTCAAATGCGTAGGAGCCTCCTACGCTTTTATGGGTGGATGAAATAGAGAAATATTCGTGAGAGGAGGAAAGTGGCTGCTTGGTCCCCAGCGGCCACATCGCTACTTCGTGTGTGGTTGCAATAGCATCAGTCATTTTTCCATTCTCTGGTTATTTGCAGGATCATCTGTTCTTTGTTATGGAGTTCCTGAACGGGGGAGACTTAATGTTCCACATACAAGACAAGGGGCGTTTTGATCTCTACAGAGCAACGTAAGTCCACACCCCTTCAGTCCCCATCTCCATGAATGATTTTAGTCTCTGTGGGTTTACTGTTTCTGGTTCTGCACGGCTTACCTGCAGGCTGTCACTCAAGTTTCAGTGGCTGAGGATTGCAAAGGTATTTGAGTGACGCGCGGAGTCAGGGCTTCTTAATTTACGTAGCAGTATGATTTACTTCATAGGATGCTTGTACCTAGAGATGCTAAGTAACTGCAACGTGAGCCAGAAACAAAAAGCAAAAGGTACAAGTGTGTCCCTTAGGACAGTGTTTTGATGGAAAAACTGGAAAAAGCATGGGGGAAGAAAAAAACCCCAACGCTTCTTATATTATTTACTAGTTTTGCTAAGTTGACATGATAGTACAGAAGGCTAACCTGCATGTTGGGTGGGGCTTTGGGCAACCTGGTCTAGGGCATGGCAGTGGGGTGGAACTAGATGATCTTTCAGGTCCCTTCCAACCTAAACCATTCTATGATTCTGTGTTCCACAAGATACTAATAAAAGGGGTAAGCATTTTGTTTAGCAAGTGCAATTGAGTCAGTTACCTATGGCTTAAAGATCACTGGACCTGAAGACTTAAAAGATGCAAAAATACAGTAATTTTTTAGTTTTAGGTCAGTTTCTACCTCTCTCACCCAAAAGCAGGAGGGTTTGAGTTGTGTCACTGAAGGGGTGCATGCAGGACCTTAGAAGTAACAGTGCAGGGCAGTGGATCTACCTGTAAGCAGCAGCGCTATCGTGTAACCAGACTGGAAAATTACTTGTGTTGGCGTGCGCTGTACTGGGGAACACTGACGGGATGGGATCAGATCAAGGGGTCTGGCGTGAATAGTGGCTGGTAGCAGCCAGCTTCGTAGGTCAGGGCCAGCTCCCTTCCCTGCTCCCCAGCCACAGTCTGGACAAAGCCCCTCCAGCTCACCTGCAGTCCAGCAAACATCTGTGCGTCTGGCAGCCTCTCCTGGCAGCCTCTCTACCTGCTGCTGAAGCTGTGGGTCAATGTTCATTCTGCTATACAGAAGTGGAAATAGTTTTGCATTTGTTCAATTAAAAAAAAAAAAAAGCTTTTAATACATTTTGGGGGTAGGGGGGAGCATTCTTTTAGCATTTTCTGGATTGTTACCTCCTTTTTTAAGAATGCCCCTGAAGTGATGCTACTTTTCAGTCTGTCTGCTGCAACTGGGCAGGTGCAGAGAGGGAGGTGAGGTCTGTTTCTAACGCAGCCATTAGCACCCAGTCCCTCCTAACGCAATCCTGCGAGTACTGAGCTCCCGGTAGCTGTCTGTCGAAAGGCACCTCCGTATCACTATAGACATGAAGACTATTAAAGAGCAGAAAAGGGACAGTGTTCCCTAATGGGAGTGGAATGAAGCATTGAGGCAAATTGCAGTCGTGTCCCTCTACTGTTTGGTATTAGAAACTACAGATGTGTGGTGAAGGGATTAATTAGCTGATTACAGCATGCAGCTATAGAAATGCAGGTGTAGTAGTATTTAAAGAAGTGTACAGTACTTCTCCCTCCATGAAGAGATGGGTACGGCAGCTCTTGGCCAGCTGCATTGACTATGTTTTAACTGAACAAGACAGATATAAGATGTTCTGGTCTTTTCAGGTTTTATGGAGCTGAAATTTTATGCGGGCTGCAGTTTCTTCACAGCAAAGGCATTATTTATAGGTGAGTACCAACTAACTCCAGTGTGGGACCTGTGAATTGTCTCAGCACTTCATGCATCTTTGAATTGCTGATTGATGTAACGAGTAGAAGCTGTCTGTCAGAGAGCTGATGCTATTCCAAGGGCATTAACATGCCTGAGCTGAATCTGTATCTGTGTGCTTTTTCCTTGGCAACTAGAATGATGGAATGTTATTTATGTTACACAAAAGCGGGTTTGTTTCAGTTATTTTTAAACACTGCCTTCAAATCATGAGTCTATTTATTTTGGAGACAAGGGAGAGGGTCCTTGAGGCTATCAATTCCTACTGGCCTTGTGAAAACCACCGAGGGGAAAGTTGTCTGCTTTTTCCTTCCATCGAAACCCCGATATTGATGCCTCTGCCTCACCAGGTTGAAACATCAGGGGCCACATCCTGATTGACTGCTAAATACCCCATGCTACAGGAGATCAGAAGATAATTTTAATGTTGTTTTTCCTCTCAATTTCCTTTCTCCAGCCTTTTCACCCCACCCCCAGCTTCAAAGCACCATTTGATAACTACTTTCTCAGGTAGCTCTTACCTCTAACAAACGGTAACGGCTGTGGGCTTGAGAGCAAGTTACCCAAGGCCTTAGGTAAGCGTGCCCCAGAACATCTTGTATTGTCCATCTCCCTTTTATAGAAACAGGGAACATCTGTTGGAGCATCCATCCTTTAAAGCAATTTTCTGAAGTTAGAGACTAGTAAAAAAGTGTTTCTAAAGAGGATGAACATTACAGGAATCCTCCTTGGTGAAGAAAGATGGTTCTTCCAAGCCTGTCTGCCTCTCAGAGAAGCCACCCATAACCCAGGAAGGTACTTCATGTACCCAGCTGTATTCCCACTGGCTCCTGCAGGTCTTTATACAGGAAGGAATCGAACTCCAGGATATGGTGTCATCAGTACAAAATCCTTCCATATTTCAGGAAAATTTTCAGGCTTGCTGTTAAATTTCCCTA